CGTCTTTAGATGTAGCAACTCCGAGGGAAGTGGTTTAGGGTCTGCTAGTTCGACAGATGAGTGATGAAAAATGCGTGGAATCTGTGAGATTCCAGCGTCAACGAGTCCTTTCACACCAGTCTTGCTCTCATCGAAAGCTTTAAGCTCACTGGCACGATCAAATGAAGCAATCTTCTTCGTCTCCATCGTTTTTGTCTCTCATAAAGACAGATAGAGCAATCTGATACAATCATATATAACATAAGCACCCACCGACACTTTACCTAACCCACAAAACAAAAGGTATATATTACTCGTGTTTCTTGTGTTCCAAGATGGGACCATTGATAAGAGATAAAGTTGATAGAAAAAAAGGTATATATATCACAAGCATTTTATTATACAAATGATAAGATAGGTTACTTTGCATTTTACTATGATGTATACATGTGCATCTTTGAACATGTCATCTTGGGTAAGAAAGTCAAAACATTAATTTTCTTATGTATCTCAAAAACCAGTTAATGCAAGAGAGAAACAATGTAAAAAATTACAAATTTCAATCACAAGAACTATCAAATAATCATGTTACCTCAAATTATTCTAGAAAATATATTAAATAGGAACACTTGATTTCAAAACTGCATGATTTTTTTCTTATCTTTACAAATTGAAGTTGTAGCAATATTGCTTTTATGGCTTTAGAAATTTAGTAAGTTATATTCATTCAGGTTAAAACAAATAGCAATCACATATGACACATCTGTCTAGAACGAATATTGATTTTCTAATTAACCAGGAGATAAACCTTTTTAAAACTTCGAAGAATCCTTTTAAGTGACTCTACATGATAGAAAAAACAACGGCCTGTGACAGTTCTAGCCCAGTGGCTTTGACAGAGATATATTAAAGAAGAAGTTATTACAGCGAGGAAATCAAAGTCCCAAGCACCTTTATTAGACAAGTGATATTCTCAGATCTTGAGATAGAGTAATCCAGAGGTACCATCGAATCCTTTGGATCTGTAGAACTTTGCATACTCCGTAATGGTGGTGTCTCTATATTTGGGAGGATTTTGAAGATGCAGCCTCTGAAGGAGTACCTGAACTAAGACAAGAAGTAACTCTAGAGAACAGAGCAACATGAACAAGATTAAGGAAATATGCAGAATCTTGTTTTGGCGGTTTGAAGTGAAGACTAGAAGCTTAGAGAAGATTCTAGAAGACTGAAGAGTTTCCTTTTACAAGAAGAAAAGGAAAACATGAAGACAAAGGACAATTTCCTATTCCATAAAGAAAAAGGAAATTGTCCATTCCAATTAGTTTTAGAATTGGAAATCGACCTGTTGTATGGTCTCAACCTATTTAGTATAAGTAGGAGTGCTAAGGCTTGCAGAAAGCTTAGCACAATCACTAGAGAGAATTCCTAGCTATTAAGTCTTAGTTTGAGAGAAATAGAGAACTAGAGGCTTAAAGAGAGCTAAGGGTTTTAAGGAGAGTTATTGTTCTTAATCGGTCTGTGATTAAAGAACAAGACTTAGTGAGAATAGAAAATAGTGTTAAAGGAGAAACCTTGTAAACATATTTTCTATTAATCGAAAGAGTTTTTGAGAAATTCAGAGTTACATCGTGAACTAATTCAAAACTTAGTAGCTCTTGCATTTACAATTGGTATCAGAGCGGTCGCTTGTGAAGATTACATACAGGTGAGGTCTTGTGGAAAAGATGGAGAGCTATCAAGAACTGCTTAAAAACGCAAAGGTTGTTCTAGACGATTGTAACTATGGTTTTTGGAAGTCAAAAATCAAATCTGTGATAAGAGGGATAGATGTGTTAGCTTGGAAAGCTGTCTTGGAAGAATGGAAAGAACCACAAATTAAGAATGAAGATGGAAGCTTCACAGCCAAACCCGAGTCAGACTGGACTGAAGATGAGAAGAAAAAGTCTAAATTCAATGCTAGAGCTCTCACAGCTATTCACTGCAGTGTTGGAAGGAAACAATTTGACTTAATTCAGGGCTGTGAAACTGCTAAGGAAGCTTGGGATATTCTGCAAATACACTATGAGGGAACGATTAAGGTTCAGACTTCAAGAAAAGATTTGATAGCTTCAAGATTCGAGAATCTGAAGATGGATGAGCAAGATTCAATCTCTGATTTTAGCTCTAAACTAAGTTCATTGGCGCAAGAAGCTTTAACGCTTGGGAAGAAGTATAAAGACAAGAAGTTGGTCAAGAAATTTCTAAGATGTCTACCTTCAAGATTTATGGCGTACAAAACAGCTCTAACAGTGTCAAATAATACTGATACTCTCAGTTTTGCTGAAGTTGTAGGGATGCTTCAGGCTCATGAGCTTGAATTAGGAGGAACTAAGAAACCAAAAGGGTTGGCGTTGACATCTTGTGAAAGCAAATCTCAAGCAGAAGAAGAAGATTCATTGAGTCTGTTAGTTCGAAGGTTTGATCGGTTGTTGAAAAGAGCAGAACAAGGACAAGGACAGAAGAAGTTTGGATCTTTCAAAAAGAATACTGACGATACCAAACCATCAAAGAAAGCTGACATGCAATGTCATGAATGTAAAGGGTATGGACACTTTATTCGTGAATGTCCAACAGTCAAGAAAAGAGAAACTAAATGCACAACATGCAAAGGAATGGGACATGCTCAAGATGACTGTATCAGTAGTCGAAAAGAAAAATCAATGATTGGTATTGAAGAAGAATCTGAGGAAGAGAGTGAGGAAGAAGATATCTTAAATTATGTAGCATTGATAGGCATTACTGAGTTTGTTGAAGGTGAAGAAGAAACTGACTCTGAATCAGATGAGGAACAACAAGTGAATTTTGTTGAAAGTTACAAAGAGGTGAGAGAAACTTTGATTAAACTTGGTACAGAAAATCAAGATTTGCTAAAAGAAAAGATACGTCTCGAATCACTTGTTGAACTATTACAGAATCAACTAGAAGATGAAAAGAAGATTAGCAAAGAAAGTTTGAGTTTGATGAAAGAAAAACTAAGCTTGTCTGCTAAAGCTGATAATTTGGAGAAAGAACTGATCGCTGAAAGGAAGATATCTGCAGGACTACAAACAGAACTTAATCAACAACATCGGAAGATTCACATGTTTGCTGGAACAAAACAACTAGATCAGATTCTAAGCTATGGAAGGACGGAAAAAACAAACAAAGGACTAGGGTACACTGGTCATGGAGAAACAAGCACAGGTCAAACCAAGTTTGTGTCTGGAGGAATATCTCATCATGCACAAGATGAATCAAGAAAAAGTGTTTTCAAAGGCATTGGATGCTATTTCTGTGGAAAGATTGGGCACATAAAGATTCATTGTTATAAGTACTGGGAGAAAGTGGGAAAACTCAGGTATCAAAGGAAGTTTACATGGAATGGATATAAACATCAAATCTGGGTAAAGAAAATTGATCTATATCCAACTCTAGTCAGAAGAACTGCAGAAAGAGATACAGGAAGTAGAGCAGGACTTGGTTTTAGATGCAACATGGCGTTAGTCACAGAGGAATGCGAGAAAAAGAGTCCTTGGTACTTTGATAGTGGGTGTTCACGCCATATGACAGGCACAAAAGATTACTTACAAGACATCAAGAAAATCAAAGGAGGTAAAGTGACTTTTGGTGATGGAGGTCATGGAGACATACAAGGTAAAGGAAAAACTAGTGATGTAGAGCTACCTCAGCTGATGAATGTCTATCTTGTTCGTGGACTAAAGGCTAATCTTATTAGTGTAAGTCAGTTGTGTGACGAAGGTCTAGAAGTTACTTTCACTAAAGAAGATTGTAAAGCATTTGATGAAACTGGTGACATTGTTCTAGGAGGTAAGAGAACAGGAAACAATTGTTACATGTGGGAAAACCGTACAACCAACTGTTTCTCTGCACGAGACAACCTTAATCTATGGCATCAACGTCTAGGTCACATGAATACAAGAAATCTGACTACTTTGGTTGACAAAGAAATTATCCGAGGAGTTCCTAAGCTTAAAGATGAAGATAAGATGATGTGTGGTCCATGTAATCAAGGGAAACAAGTCAAAGTGCAGCACAAGAAAGTTCCAGATGTTCAGACTAAGTCAGCACTTGATTTGGTTCATATGGATTTAATGGGGCCAATGCCAATTGAAAGCATAGCTGGGAAGAAGTATGTGTTTGTATTGGTAGACGATTTTTCTAGATATACATGGGTGAGATTCATTCGAGAGAAGTCAGACGCAGCAGATAGTTTCAGAATATGGGCTCTTCAGCTTATCAATGAGAGAGGAGGTATTAAAAGAATAAGAAGTGATCATGGTGGAGAATTTCAAAATGAATCCATGAAAGATTTTTGTGAAAAGCATGGAATTGCACATCAGTTTTCAGCTCCAAGAACACCTCAACAAAATGGGGTTGTAGAAAGGAAGAATAGAACTCTTCAAGAGATGGCTAGAGCAATGATGCATGGAAATCAGGTTCCACAGAGGTTTTGGGCAGAAGCAATAAACACATCATGCTATATCGTCAATAGGGTCTATGTGAGAAGAGATTCGATGAAGACTCCATATGAGTTATGGAAAGGAAAGACTCCGAATCTGAGCTACTTTCACGTGTTTGGATGCAGATGCTATATACTGAATGACAAAGACTACCTTGGAAAATTTGATTCCAGAAGTGATGAAGGCATGTTTCTGGGTTACTCAGAGACTAGTACAGCATTCAGAATCTACAACAAAAGAACGTGTGCTATTATGGAATCAGTTAATGTTGTATTTGATGATCATTATGTGTCAAAGGTTAGTGAAGAACTTGAAGAAAGTGACACAGAACTGGATGAGATAACCAATAAAGAGGTTAAAGAAAAAGTGGATGGTTCATCGATAGAACAAGAAGATAGTCACAAAGAAGCTCAGAAAATTCAGGTACACAAAAATCATTCATCATCAGACATCATTGGAGATCTCCAAGATCCGATGAAAACCAGAGGTGTAAAGCTTGATTTCAAAAAGATGACAAGTAATTTTGCAGAATGGGAAACTTTGCAGTTTCAATGCTTTGTTTCAACCGTTGAACCAAAAAATCATGTTGAAGCACTTGAAGATAATTTCTGGATCATTGCTATGCAGGAAGAGCTAGAACAGTTCAAAAGAAATGAAGTTTGGGAATTGGTTAAACGACCTGCGGATACAAATATTATAGGAACCAAATGGATTTTTAAGAACAAGAGTGATGAAAAAGGAGTAGTTGTCAGAAATAAAGCAAGATTGGTAGCACAAGGGTATAATCAAATCGAAGGTGTTGACTTTGAAGAAACGTTTGCACCTGTAGCAAGACTTGAATCAATCAGACTTTTCTTGGGAATGGCTTGTATTCTTAACTTCACGGTTCATCAAATGGATGTTAAAAGTGCTTTTCTAAATGGTATACTACAAGAAGAAGTATATGTTGAGCAACCTAAAGGATTTGAAGATATGATGAAACCTGAGTATGTTTTCAAGCTAAAGAAGGCTCTATATGGACTCAAACAAGCACCTAGAGCATGGTATGAAAGGCTGACTAACTTTCTGCTTGAGAAAGGCTACAACAGAGGAAGTGTTGATAAAACTTTGTTTATTCTTGAAGAAAACAAAGAGATCATGATGGTGCAGATTTATGTTGATGATATTATTTTCGGGAGTACTTCTCAGAAGTTGGTGGATCAGTTTATAGAAAACATGACAAAAGAGTTTGAAATGAGTTTGGTAGGTGAATTGAAGTATTTCTTGGGATTGCAGATAGTTCAATCGGATGAAGGAATCTACATCTCACAGAGTACTTATGCTAAGAAGATCTTGAAGAAGTTTCAAATGGATAAATGCAAAGAAGCTAAAACTCCTATGAGTACCTCATTGAAATTATCAAGAGATGAAAATGGAACAGATGTAGACGTCAAAACTTACAGAGGAATGATTGGAAGTCTCTTATATCTAACTGCTAGTAGGCCTGATTTATGTCTGAGTGTTGGAGTTTGTGCTAGATATCAAGCAAAGCCTAAACAGTCTCATCTTGAAGCTGTGAAGAGAATCCTGAAGTACGTCAAAGGAACTGCAGATCTTGGTATTTGGTATTCAAGAAACTCAAATCAAAATCTGGTTGGTTACTGTGATGCTGATTATGCAGGAAATGTGAATGACAGAAAGAGTACAAGTGGAGGATGTTTCTTTCTTGGAAACAATCTAATTGCGTGGTTGAGTAAGAAGCAAAACTCTGTGTCAATATCCACCGCAGAATCTGAGTATATTGCCATGGGAAGTTGTTGCACTCAGTTACTTTGGATGAAGCAAATGTTAGCAGATTATGGAATCGACGCTGGAGTTCTTCAAGTCTACTGTGATAATCAGAGTGCTATAGATATCTCTAAAAATCCGGTTCAACATTCAAGAACTAAACATATTGATGTGAGACATCACTTTATTCGAGAATTGGTTGAAGAAAAGAAGGTTCAGATTGATCATGTTGGGACAGAGATTCAGCTAGCAGATATTTTTACAAAGGCATTGGACTTCAACAGGTTCGTCACATTAAGAAATTCACTTGGAGTATGTGAACTATGATCTGACTCAGTCAAAGATCATGAGAGCTGATATGGTATGAAGATTCGGTTCAATTCAATATTTCAGGTTCGGTTTATCACATTAGAAGCTCCAAGAATGGTTTATGCCGGTTTGTTTTTGGCAAAAATCGAGTTTTTGAATTTTAAAAAAAAGAGGATATGCAATCATAACAAGATTTTCTCAAATCTTGGTGAAGAGATTCTCGGGGAACAAAACAAGAGAAACGAAAAATTTCCGAAAACCCTAAGATAAGAAGAAGCAAGAAAATCCTTGAAAAAAAAAACTCTCAAACCGCAACAATGGTGAAAGCCACTCGCAGAGGTCCAATCGGTGGAAGAAGAACAACGGCAGAAGATCGTTCTGATGGAGTTGAAGCTAATCCGCAACTGATTGACGAATCTATTGCAGCGCCTCTTTCTCTTGTTCCTTATGGTGATGAAGATGACTCATTTGCAACAGCTAATGAAGAAAATAAAAGCAACGAGTCTGAGGAAATCAGAAAACCTGAGGAAGAATCAAAGAAGCTTGATGGAGAAACTGAGGTACTTTCTGAACAAATCGATAGAGTCAAACCTACAGAGGATGTGTCAACAGACACTGTGCCAGAAGAAGAAGTTGAAAAATCTGAGGATCTCCGTGGTGAAATCAAGGAATCAAGTCGACGAGTGTCTCAAATCGATGAAGACATTATCGGATCTGACCAAATTTCGGCTGAGAAATCAAAATCAACTGAGGATACTGTGATTTTAGAAGAGGAAAATCGAGTTTTTCCACATGCAGATCCAGAATTGTCTGACAAAGAGGAAGAAAATGCTGAAAGAGTAGTAAGGGACAAAGCAATTCATACTTCTGATATTGAGATTGAACCAACCGAGTTGACTGTTGAAGAACAATTCCAGAAGAATCAAAAGGAGAAGGAAGCTCGTAAGAAAAGAGTATTCAAACAGCTAGGTCTAGCTCCTCCAAAGAAGAAACAGAAGATTGCTGAACCAAGTTCCAAGAAGAACAAATCCTTCAAGGCTTCTGCTTCAGAGAAAAATCAATCCAAGAAAAACTTTCGATCTAAGCTATTCTCATCTTCTCAAGCTCAAGCAAGGTATGATTTGTTTAAAAATAGAAACTTGATTGAGGAACGCCTGATTGATTTAGAAAAAGAGGATTCCTGGGGTTACTTAACCTTGATCAAGAATGCGAGATTGGAATCTACAGTAACAAATCTTGGAAGTTATGTGCGGGAAGTAGTGTCTGAATTTTATGCAAATCTTCCTTGTGAAAAGTCTGAAGAAAATGCTGAGAAGGTCAGTGTGTTTGTCAGAGGGCATGTCTATGAGTTTTCACCAAAGAAAATCAATAAATATCTTGGTTTTAAAGTTTTAACCAAAGAGGAACTTAAGGCAGATAGTGATGCTGATTCGATTGGAAAAGAACAACTTGCAGAACTGCTAAGTGAAGATGAGAAGACTGGTTGGGATGATTTAGTATTCAAGAATTTTTCTCCTCGAATTGGAGCTCTTCTACGAATCACTGCTCAGAATTGGATTCCTTCTTCTAATCCAGATTATGTTTCAGTTGAGAGAGCTCAGCTCATCTACAAGATCTTTCATGGAATCAGAATTGATATTGGTAAGATGATCTTTAATCAAGTGATGTCACTTGTTCAGAACAAGGATGAAAGATGGTTGGTGTTTCCCCGAATCATATATGGGATGCTCATAAGTCAAAAAGAAGTGACAATCTATTCTGGAGAAAAGTTTGTGACTCCTAAGTTCTACAAAAAGGATGTCAGAACTGGTCAAGCTTACACTGAAAGAATGAAGGGCAAAGCAAAAGCTAGCACTCAGCCAAATACTTCAAGAACAGCTCCTCAAAATGTATATCCTTCTTCACAGTTTAATCCAGAGTATCAAGGATATACTGTTGTGGACATTGGAAGCATCCGCCTGCCACACCCTGATGAGGATGATAGAGAGGGAATGTTTATGGCTTTGTTAGACACAGCTCAGGCTATTTCCAAGATGAATGGAGTGATTCAACAACTTGTTCTCAGTCATCCTTTGTCCAAAAGACTGTAGGAAGTTTGGTTTTTAACCTTGAGCTCTCAAGCAGGGGGAGAAAGGAGTATGGCTGTGATTCTGGGGAAGTTCATGTGTTGTGGGGGAGTAGTTATTTGTTCTTTTTGTTTGAACTCCAGACTTTGTTACTTGTTTTCAGACTTTGTCATTTCAGGGGGAGTTAGTCTTTGTTGGACGAAATTGCTAAAATTTTTAATAACTTCGATTGGTTAAAGTCTGTGATTGCTTGTGATGAAAAATGTCTACAAAAGTAAGAAGATTTCAAATACAGGTGCTTGAGAGACACAAGATTAAAAAGGGGGAGATTGAAGATGCAGCCTCTGAAGGAGTACCTGAACTAAGACAAGAAGTAACTCTAGAGAACAGAGCAACATGAACAAGATTAAGGAAATATGCAGAATCTTGTTTTGGCGGTTTGAAGTGAAGACTAGAAGCTTAGAGAAGATTCTAGAAGACTGAAGAGTTTCCTTTTACAAGAAGAAAAGGAAAACATGAAGACAAAGGACAATTTCCTATTCCATAAAGAAAAAGGAAATTGTCCATTCCAATTAGTTTTAGAATTGGAAATCGACCTGTTGTATGGTCTCAACCTATTTAGTATAAGTAGGAGTGCTAAGGCTTGCAGAAAGCTTAGCACAATCACTAGAGAGAATTCCTAGCTATTAAGTCTTAGTTTGAGAGAAATAGAGAACTAGAGGCTTAAAGAGAGCTAAGGGTTTTAAGGAGAGTTATTGTTCTTAATCGGTCTGTGATTAAAGAACAAGACTTAGTGAGAATAGAAAATAGTGTTAAAGGAGAAACCTTGTAAACATATTTTCTATTAATCGAAAGAGTTTTTGAGAAATTCAGAGTTACATCGTGAACTAATTCAAAACTTAGTAGCTCTTGCATTTACAGATTTTGTTCTGACAAAATATCTTTGATGGGTCCATAAACTCGAGGATTCGCCATCAAATACGAACTGAAGAAACAAGCCACTGAAATTCTTGGTCCAGCTACATTCGCCAAAACCCTATGCTCCACACTTTTGAACTTGTCGTTTGTTATATGCCCCATTATAATTAATCAAACTTAGTCCATAGATTAACTCCACTGATAAATAAACCAAAAGGGTTAATTAGTTAGTTAACCTGAAGAAGATCTCCAACGTTAACAACAAGAGCTCCGGGAACAGGAGGAACATCAACCCAATATTGGTCATGGAGAACTTGAAGCCCTCCGATATGGTCTTGAAGAAGAATAGTGAGAAAAGAGTTGTCGAAGTGTTTGGTCAAACCTAAAGTAAGGTCGGGTTGGGGACATGGCGGGTAATAATGGCCGAGCAACAGCAAGGAGTTGGTGCAATCCATGCAGTGCCGGTCCGAGCATTTGTGAGGCCCTACACGAAAAATAAAATGAGGCCCAATATATTTATAAGTTTTAGGGTTAAAAAATTTTTTTTGACCTATTTTTAGTAAATTATACAAAATAATGATATTTTGAATATTATTACATTCAAATTTAATTGTTTGGGCCCTATTTTATTTATTTTTTTCGAAAAGGCTTTAGTTTCTACCAAATATTTTCATTTTATAGGCTTAATTCTTTTTTTTTTTCTAAAATTGGGCCTTTTTTCCAAAAAAAAAAAAGAAAAACCTTAAAAAAAAAAAAAAAAAAGTGGTGCCCCAAGCGGTGGCTTGGGTGGCATGTCCTCCGGGCCGGCACTGAATCCATGTCCTTGAGGTGACTAGTGTTTAACCCTAGAGCTTCTGACAGAAGCTCAAAGAGCAATTTACCTAATTTCATCACTTCCTTTGAGTACTCAATCATCATCTCCCTGTCAAAATGTCCCACCAAAAACCTTAAGAGACACTAACGAATATTGGAGCGTTAATCTTTAATGAAATCCTAGCTCTTAGAGCATCTCCAACCCACCTCTATATTTGCCTCTAAACTCTATTTTAGAGGCAAATTTGCTCCAACCCACCTCTAAAATAGAGATCTCTATTTTTTTCTCTATATATAGAAGTCAGAATAGAGAATCTCTATTTTTTCCTCTATAAATAAAGTTAAACTTTTTAGAGGAAAAAATAGAGGAACGCATTGGAGTAAAAATAGAGAAAACTTATCTCTATTATAGAAATAGAGCTAAAAATAGGGAAATATATCGGAGATGGTCTTACGTATAATTATTTAGAAGAGTTATTATTGGATTTTATGTATTTCAACTGTTTTATAAACTTGGGAAAAAAAAATGTTTTATTGGAATAACTGTGCTATTTGTCTAACGATTAGTAAAATGCTATTAGACCATAATTTCTACGGACCGAGGAACATAACATGTTACATTAGAAAATATACTCAAACTCGTGATTTAACAAATTTGGAAATCTTACCCACAAGCGGCGGGTAAGTCCTCCGGTCTGGGAGGATCTGGTGCCGTATAACAACCGAGTGTATCTCTCCAATTCGCCGCCGGTGAGCTAAACAGATCGAAGTTACTGCTATATACCACCTTACTAGCTGGATCTCGAGAGTAAAACCCTTTCT